ATAGTTGTGTCTGTCAGCTGCTGTCAACTGTCCAAGTATTTCCAGTGGTTGTTCCTTCAAGCTCGTTGCCAGATATACTGCTTTCTGCTCCTCTGTCCATCCATTCATTTCTGCCAGGAGTTCAAATTGTGCTCTATATGCTTCCCACGGTGCCTTCCCATCAATTTCCTGTGGCTTCCTTCTTACAGGATCACCCCTGTTGCTGACATTCATATCTGGGATGTGACTTCTAACAGGACTGAAGATGTCTGCATTAGGGTTTAGTTGCGAGGTCTGAAAGGGGATTGCTATTGTCTGGGGCTGATTCAGTCGATGGTTAATGTATCCTCCTTGTGTAAAAGACCATAGATCATCCTTTAATGTATTTAATTCGCTTTGAAATTTACTAATGTTTTCCATTTGTACTTCTTGCCACTGTTGTTGACTTTCCTGTAGTTGCTGCTGACTTTCCTGCAACTGTTTGAGACTTTCTTCCTGTTTCCTTTCTTGTTCCAGTTGCCACTGCTGTAATCTCTGTTCTTGTTTCTTTTCTTTTTCCTCCAACAACTGCTGTAATCTCTCTTCTTGTTTCTTTTCTCGATCTTCTTGTTTATTTTCTTTTTTCCTCCAACCACTGCTGTAATCTCTCTTGTTTATTTTGCTGTTTGAGCTGCCACTGTTGCAGGGTTTCTTGCCACTGCTGTTGTCTCTCTTCTTGTTTCTTTTCTTTCTCCTCCAACCACTGCTGTAGTCTCTCTTCTTGTTTCTTTTCTTTCTCCTCCAACCACTGCTGTAGTCTCTCTTCTTGTTTATTTTCCTCACTATCTTCAACTGATACATCTTCTGAAGGAAATTTCAATAAATCACACATATAAAAAACTAGGTTCTCAAGGGACAGGTTCATTCAATAGCTCCTCTAAAAATTTCTTTATGAAAACCTCTTCACTATCCACAACTGATGAATCTTATGAAGGAAATTTCAATAAGTCACACATATAAAAAACTAGGTTCTCAAGGGACAGGTTCACTCAATAGCTCCTCTAAAAATTTCTTTATGAAAACCTCTTCACTATCCACAACTGATGAATCTTCTGAAGGAAATTTCAATAAATCACACACATAAAAAACTAGGTTCTCAAGGGACAGGTTCATTCAGTGGCCCTTCTATGAATTTGTTGATGAAAACCTCCAGACTATCCTCAACTGATATGCCTTCTGATACAAACTTCAACAAATCACTGTCCAACTAATTAAAAATTTTTCCTACATTAAGTGTTCCCCAGCATCAAACACTAGACCGTAGAAGATCAATGTCAAGCACCAAACTGCCTATCTCCAAGTTCATATCTTTGGGAGAAACTTTGAAAGTTAACCTTACCACCACTACATAGTGGTTATACAGGAATATACTTGCTACTATCACCCCTGGCACAGTGGGGATGAGACATTACCAGTGTCCATTATCATCCTCTTTAACACAGTATTTGAAGATACTGAACAGAGATAACTGTCAATGAGGTGCTCTGCATCAACTTCAGTGACTAGAGCTTCTCCTGATGCATCACATGACCTCCTCACTAGCCTGAAAGGGTCCTGGTCATATATACGTTGTGTAGTCTCAAAACAATATGCTGAATCCTGAAACTTGTGCTGTCATAGCTCTACCTACTCATTGTCATTAACCTTACACATCTCAAGCTTTTCTTAGATCAAGGGTAAATGCAAAACAGCTGGTTAACACCCACCTTTTCTTATATATGGGCTGCAACAGTAAGTACATTTAGATTGTTTGCTGCCATCACAACCCGCATTCATCGTCATACATTCCTGTATGTAAAAGGTTACTGATGGAGGTTGACCAGCTACAGCACCCCTGGTCAGACTGATAATGTTCACATAGCTCCTAGTATTACAGGCAAGAACCCTGGATAGGACTTTTCCATGTCCTTTTTCAGTATCTCCATTTTTCCTCAACTACAGTTTCCTCCTCTCAGCCATGACTTCTACAGGAGAATAGGTCAGGCTGAAAAAATCTGGAGATTAATATCAAGCACAGTATAATCTACGATCAGCACTGTACTCCAGAAGGAGAGGTAAAAAGAGAAATATGGTTATTTTTAATAGAAATCTATTACATTTTAACTTGATATTTAAATACCTATGCCGAATTAACAAGAAATATCATTATGTATAATCCAGTATTAAAAATTTGTAACACAAAATATCTGATAAAAATATTTCATTGATTAACTTAATAAATATCTCAAAAGGTTTGTTTTCAGAAACCTGGTGAAAAGCTACAGAAGGGCTATATGGAAGGCAGCTAGTCAACAGCAGCCATTACTAACTCTTACGCTCTTATCTAACCGAATAATGAAATTTGGCCATCACTCTTATAGAAGACCCATCATCAACTTATCCCCAAGTCAGCCTAAGAGTAATCTTCAAACCAAACACAATTTTTTCCTGTTTAAAGACAAAATACCTCCTTCCAAACAATTGCTAGTAGTATACAAATACTTTTGTCCTTACTGCAGGCAAATCTATATGGGGTCAATGACTCGAACCTTAGCTATCAGAATCAAGGATCATGCACACAACAGCCCTTTCAATAACTCTGGAATCTACAACCCCGCAAGCAAAGACTGTAATGAAAAATTGAACAGTGAATATTTCAGAATAATAGACTTAGCAAAAGATGAATGGATGCTAAGAAAAAAGGAAGCACTCCTAATTTGTAACCTACAACCTAAGCTGAACAATCAACTAGCTACATCACTGCATCTCAAACTATGATCAACTCATTGTGCTCGAGATGGGCAAAAAGTGAAAACTTTATCCAATAAACAAGTGTCAATATCTACTGAAATGAAAAAATCTCATGTGATTTACATAAAAAAAAAACAACCGGAAATACAAATCAACTTTTACTTTAGCCATTTTGTTAGGCCCTAGATTTCAATTAGGATTTTTAAAACTACAACAGAATCAGTTGGATGGCAAAAGTATTGACAATGCTAATTTTAGAACGAAATGGGACTGAAGATACAGCAAAAGTAACAATGATTGATTTTCATCACTAGAACTACCATCTATTAAAAATGTACTGATGGAAACACTTCACTCATTCTGGGATTGCTACAGTGAAATATTGACTAGCTTCTATAGCATTAATGATATTGGTTCAACTAATCATGACAAAAAATTTGCTATCACCAGTCAAATTTATTTATATTTATCTCTATCACTTTTAAAGCCCCAATCTAATTGGTTATTGTGGTGTAAACTGAATAAAGATAGTACACAATGTTGAA